GTATAAGAGACAGCCCCCACCCACTTCCCTTTTTAAATGTGAGTCATCTGTCTAGAAGGGAAATTGTGGTATTAGCAAATTCTTTGTTCTGACTGATCTGAGTTTTAGATTATACTACAGTGGGAGATGAATCAGTTGTTCAGTCACTTCATGTAATTATTCATGATTGTTTTTATGGCAAAGCATTTAAATTTGAATGTGTGCAACTAAAACTTGACATAAATGCTGAACAGGTCATAGACTAGAGGTTTTAGAAACCTTTTAATTTAGTTTACGTTTTAATTTGGTTATCATCTTTAGCAATAATTGCTGTCCAGTTTCTGGAAATGCAAATAACGTGTGGAAACTTGGAATTTTCCAAGGGGGGAAAAAAAAAATAATTATACGTGGATGTGATTTGGTGTCACCCGGATTCACTTGGAAGAGGCCTTGCAGAACTGTGCAGGACATAGTTAATCCCTCCATCCCCCTCTTTTGTGACAGATCTCAGATCAGTGACTGGTTTCCTCTTTGAATCTCTCCCTGGGGGTATCTCAGCTGAGCAGAATCTAGTATAAATGGGCCAAATCTCCTGTTGGAATTCAGGATTGTTACAGTTTACAGCAGCAGAGAGGACAGACCGCCTTTGGAGAACGTGACATTATGCTCACCACTGACACCGCTCAGTACTGGGGGGGTGGGTTTCTCTCCTGACAGAAAAACTCTGTGTGTGACTGTTTACATGCTCTGCGTGTGGAAAAGTGGTTTGGCTGGGACAAGAGGACTAAATACCACGTGGCAAAGGTTGTCTTATGGATCATAGATTTACCACAGTGCTAATTTCCCCTCCTGCCAATTTCCTGGGGTCACCTGAACCATCTCCCCTTGGGCAATGTGCTCTGTGACTCGCGGGGAGCAAATGTTGTTTCATTAATGTTTTCCTTTGCAGCAGAAGCAGCAGCTGACTGCCAGCCAGGGGAGGCTGGGGCTCTAAATAGAAAACAAACATGTGCAAACTTTATTTCCCATTAACTCATGCATGTAATTTCCAAACTGAACAAGCTGAAGAGTTGGCTACAGCCACTTCAAGCATGCTAAGCTGATGGAGCAGGAGTCAGAGGTGTTTTCCTCTCCCTGTTTGCTAGCTTAAAACATAGGAGTGAGACCTGGCCTACAATTTGCTGTAAGCTCTGTTGAAATGTGGTCCCAGACTTACGTCGGAAAACTCTTGGTTCTCTCTGGAAATCTAATTTATATATTTGTACATATTACAGACAGTCAATAGAGAGGGATCTTCATATTAAAGGAGCACGTTTATCTGATGCCCTGTTGGAGGCTGTCTTAATGTGAGTGCCTAGCTATGCCCGTCACATCCGCCAGCAAAGTGGTTTTAGGATGATTTTGCTGCACCTTCCACAGCCCTGGGTGCTCTCAGCTGCAGCTGAGTGTGGGGTCTTGCTTACAAAATCAAATACTACAGTGGCCGTCTTGTAACAGAGCCTCTACTTGGATTAAAAGCATTAGTGACTGCAAGGTGTAAGGAGGGCTAGGGTGGAATTGCAAAAGATTGCTAAAAGTTTGGCTCCGAAGCACCCTTTTGGATAGCAGTTTTCAGCTAATGCCAGTCTTTCCTCCTCCCACCATCCCAAGCTCATGTAGAGTTTTCCTTTCTTTCAGTCAACGTGTTTCTGCTAATGCCCCCCCCCCTTCCTATTAAATACTATTCTTTGTATTTTAACAGCGGATGTTGAGAGGATCTGGGTTTATTGGTGTTTTGATGTTTGGGGCCATTTGTTCTTTCAGTGCTTCCGTTATTTTAATTGATTATGAAGTGGGGTTTACTGTATGTGTAATAGTGGGTGTTGAGACTGAGACTCTTTAAGTTTCTGTTTTGCGTAAGAGTTGGAGTCATATAATAGCCAGATAATTACAGTGACTCGCGTGATTTGAAGGGCTCGAGGCATCCTGTTGAATGGCTGAGGGCGTTATCACCAGTGCATTCTGAAAAAATTGAGATGACAGGATTAGCCATGGGAAATTAGGCAATTGGTTCATCAAGTCCATTGTCTACTTCTTGCTGGAGCAGATCCGACCACTGATTCACCTGCCTTTGGCACTGCCCATCTTGTGATGCTGTAGAGGGCACTGAGGTGCCCTTACAGCTGGATGGGCAGTACTCTTTATGGGAGGAAGGGTTTCTATTCGGGTCTCACATGATTACACATTCAAACCGAGCAAGCCAGCGGGCCTTGGGAAGGTGACATGCTTTTGACAGAAAGATTGAACTGACCTGCCCACATAAACAACACCACAACAATGATGAGAATTTCCCCCGCTCGCAGCTGTTGGTTTTTCTTCGCCATCTCCTTCATTGTCACCTCATCTGCACAAGGGGAGAGAGAGATCATGAAACCTGACTGCACGGCTTGGGCTGCACTGGACACTGATTTAACAGTGTCAAATCATCAGCACGTCGAGGGCAAAGCTAGTGGGGAGGGAGTCCTCAGCCCTCGGTCGTGCCAGCAGCAGAGTGTCAGCTGCTCTGCAGCGACTGCCCTGCACAACCTGCAGGAGATGGGGCGAGAGAGGAGCAGTGAGACAGGATCGACAGGCAGCGACCACAGAGGAGCTGCCAGGGGGTAAGTCCCCCATGTTATCCAGCCCCGTGGCAGGTCGCTCTGCTCTGTGTCTGGTCTTTGTTAGTGCCGTCTGTGCCTGTCACAAAGCCTTGCATGCTTCAGCAGTTCCTCTCCCAGCTCCGGAGTGTAGAGCCTGGCATGATATTTTTCAGTGGAGCCATGGGATTCAGAAATGAGTCGAGCCTTTTTGCAGGGCGTAATGCGCCTCCTTGGCTTCAAAGCACTAAGAAGATTACAGTTCAGGCCTCCAGGGAGGGAAGCAGTGCTTCTCTTAGTGCTTTTAGATGAACAGCAATTCAGTATTTACAGACACCAAATCATTTTAGCAGAAAAAGTCAAGAATTCACAACATCCTAGGAACCATGTCCAAAAGCCCTGCAACAGGCTGGGTCCTCAGTAGGCAGGCAGTAACCCTTTATATCCCAGACCCCTGTACTCCCTAGCCCTGTTTGTAGCAGAGATTCTTGCTGACAGAAAACCTTCAACAATCTGGTTTGGCTTAAGAGAAACAAGTGAAGGAGTTGCCAGTGAGGAAGTGCCTGGTTTCCTCCATAGAGATATTCAAAACCTGTTCTAGCTGACCCTGCTTGAGCAAGGGTCTGAACTAGGTGATCTCAAGAGGTCCCTTCCAACCTCAACTTTCCGTGATTTGGCAGAAATACTTGAAATGTAAGAAAAGTGGGTGTCTCTGGGTATGTTTTTTTTTCCCCTTGCTGTCCTGGAATCCAAGCATAGGAGGCTCAGCAAATCCCCCAGGTGCCCTGTGAGCACAGTTGTGGTGTGCCCGGTGCCATCCAGGGGTCTAGTTTCACCTGAGTTTGCAGGCTGCTCAGGAATTTCCCCTGGCATTTTCCATTGGCAAGGATGCTGGACACACAGCTCCCAGTCTGGAAACCTTCTCCTCATTTTACCTGATAAACCTCAATCTGAAATGGGGAAAATGAACAGCCAGCCTTCAGTACATCTCCCTGTTGCTCTGGGCACCTGTCAGCCTTGTCCGCTGGGCACACTCAGCTCATCCCACTTGTCTACATGGGGCTGTGAGAGGGCACTGAGCCCTGTGTGCCTTTACCCCAGTTATTTGTGTTGCATGGGAAACTGCTTTCCTCTCTGCAGAGCCCTACGCTGCCTGGGCTCCCAGGGGCCACACAGGAACTCACCCACACTTGCCTTTATTTTTAGAGGCTAGTTTCTCAGCTTCCCTGGGGGTCTTGAAGAGGACTGGCTCACTGGCAGGGCTCTGGCCTTGGATGCTGATGGACTGGACATGCACAATGTACTCAGTGTCCTCCTCTAGGTCCCAGAGGGCACAGGAGCGGGTGGTGGTGTTCACCTCCTGGATGAAGCGCAGCATCCGCACGTCCTTCTTCTGGAAGCCAAGAGAGGAGAGCACAGAGTGGTGGAGAGGCCTCCCGTGTGCACTGCTGTCATCTAAGACCACTGCTTCCTGCCCTGTCCACCACGGACGTGGAGACTGTCAGACCCTTTCCTCCCTGCAGCCACCAATATGTGAAGTGCTGCAGCAAAGAGGACGGGAAGCCAAGTTCCCTCCCAGACCACGAGGGACAGGACAAGAAGAAATGGGCTTGAACTGCAGCAAGAGAATTTGGAAACTGAGGGGAACCTGGGGTGAAGATGAACATGACCAAAACTGGGTAACTGGAGGCACCGTACCTGTTGGGAAATTGCAAATCCAATGACAACTTCATCTTCTAGAACGTCCCAAGTCACAACGGCTGAGTTGGCTTTCAGGTGTTTGACTGTGACATTTACTGGAGCCGACGGGCTGTCTGCAAGGAGGGAGAGCAGAGCCTTTACAGGGGCAAAGTCCCAGCCACGGGCAGGAGACAGAGCAAGGGCAGGGAAGGGAGCGGGTTAGGACCTTGCTCAGGGTCCTTCCTCTGTATGATTCTGGGTGTGGGGCCTGGAAGTGGCAGGTACCCCCTGTCTTAGTTACCAACGAGGTTCTGCTGAGAATGTGAGATGCATTGGACACATGTGAAATAAGTGACCCTTAGAGAGCGTTTCTTTTGCCACAGCAGCAGACCACTGAGCAGCTCATTCATCTCATCCTTCCCAGCCACATACCACGTTTTCTCTGTTGTTTCCTCATGCGGTCTGACAGTGACAGCCGGGAGGAAATGCAAAATCTGCCTTGGAAATATGAAAACTGAATGCTTTCATGAGCACTCTGGAGGCTTGACATTCAGGAGTAGTGAATGGGAGTGTTTCTTTTGCTTTCCCCTGTTAGTCTGACAGAAAAAAATTTTTATACACGTTTTGCAGCTGCTGGGCTGTCTCTGCGATGGTCGGAGGACATCCAACAACCATCTGCTTGCAGCTAACAGGGCAGAACACGCTGCGGCAGCACGGATGGGCCATTATGATGGCAAAAGGGCAGGGCATGAAAGCAGTAGCCCGAGGCTCCGTGTTTAGTGTTTGTTCCCAATTCCAGAGCACGGGGTGGATCTGTGTAGCTGCCAGCCTTGGCAAAAAGTGAGGCGGGCTGTGATGTGCCAGCTGGGTTCCTGCACACCCTCACCAGGAGCCTCTTCCCAAGGGAGCTGTGCAGTGCAAAGCCCTTCTCAGCATCTCAGGGGGAAGGTTTTACCTTCTGGTGCTCTGTGCAGCAGGCTGGGCCCCTGTTCCCTCTCCTCTGGTCAAATTTAATTCACAATCTCCAGCTTGTGCCCCAAACCCGAAGGCATTACATGCTGATGGGACTGCTAAGTCTCTGACTACCCCCAGGAGGTCAGCAGGGTGAGGAGGAGTCAGTTTTTCTGACTCTCATCAGAGAATACTACTTTTATTGCTTTGTAACCATTGCACAACACCGCCCTGCTGGGGCTGGGGCTGAGGTCAACAGTAAAAGAAGGATGCATGTGTGCACGTCTCCAGTAACACTTGTTGGATTTATAGTCAGTCTCAGCCGCCTGAATGTGGCTGAAAATATTCTAGCTGTACTGTCAGTGTCTCCTAACAACTGACTTCACTCCTGGTGAATGTTCCCCTGGGACAGAGAAAATAATGGGAGGACAAAATTCCCCAGCTGAAGGTCAGTGCTGTTCCACACTTGGCGGAGCGATCACCTTATTCCTTTCTCTCCTCCCCAAACCCCCCCCCCCAGAGTCCAGTCTGCGGAGCTCCTCTTTCTAGCAGATGGGAGACCCACAGCCACCAGTGAGACCCTCGGGAACAGGACGCCTGGTCAAGCTGCTGGGACCCAGACTTTGGGTCTTCAGAAGGAGGAGCAGCAAGCAGTCGTGGTCTCTGGGATTTCATAGGGGAAGGTGTCCTTCCTCTCTGGAGTAGGTGATCCAGTCGGTGTTGACCCAGAGCACTCTCATCCCTCAGGGGCTGGCCTTCATGAAAGGAGACAGTGGTCTCCAGCCAGCTCTCGGAGAACGGAAACATTTATCATCCTCACCCTCCACGGCAGCAGCCGGGCCAAGGACACACTGGGCAGGAGAGATGGATCGTCCTCAGCCTGAACACTCGTCCCTTCTGGACTCAGCTCCCTGCTGTGCCACAAGGAAGGGACGTGGGTCTGCACCTCCTCACCTTCCCCCGTGACTGAACCCGTGTGCCAACCGGAGTAGGATCTAATTTTAGGAAGGGGCAGTCAGCAGATGGGAATGCGTACAGGGAAGGTCTGTGAGTCATGCCTGATGAATTTGCTAGAACATACGGAGGACATGATGGAGTTGAGAGATGGGAGACAAAACAGTCTCCAGCTGCAGCCAGGCACTTCGCCCTTCTCAAAGTACAGCTGTACAGTTAAATCCCGGCATGGTTGTCTTTCCCGGATATTTTTAGGAACTAATTTTTTTTTTAGGAGCTAGCACTGACTTACCCAGTTTAGGTTGAAGAGGCCTTTGAAAAGAGATGAATTAACCCCTCAGGAACAGAGGGGAAAAAGCTTCAGGCTGGGAAAAGGGAACATACAGCACACTGCACTTGGTGCCTGAGTCCCCTTGGAAATCTGTGACCTTGAGGGAGGCACAGCATAAAAAGTGTCTTAAGTTTCCTGATGACATAAAATGTGGGGGAGTCGGGGAGACCTAGCGGAGCTGGAGAAAGAGCAAACAACCTCTCTGGTGAGAGAGGGTGGAGGCTGCGAGGAAGAAGGGAAGCACTTGGCCAAGCTGCAGCCCAGTGCCCGCAGCCTGTAGAGCAGGGCTCTGGGTGTAGGCAGGGGAGGAACCAGCCGGTGTGGATGGTCGAGAGCACTTGAGAAAACCAGATCTGAGTGTGCCTTTCCTTTCAGTGCCACACATTAGGACTAACTACACCTAAATCAGCGGTGTCAAACCAGTCTAAAAGCGATATGAAAAGCGAATTAAGCAGGGCCTTTGACAGAAATGCAAAGCCAGGAAAATTCGTTTCCTGCACCTAGAGCTGAGTGAATAACTTGGAAGCAAAATTTTAATCCATGAGGATGCTTTTCTCCCTGTTCCCAGGAGATGCACGATGAGATCATGACTTTCTGAAATCTAAACACTGTTCCAAGATATTCCACACCGCTTTTGGCTCCTTGGGCCAGTTGCGGCTCTTGGTAGTGCCAGGTCAGGTGGAGAAGATGTCATTTCTGTTTCCCAGCTGGCTGTAGGGGGTCAGCATCTCTAGCAGGGCCTTGAGGTGCCAAAATCCCAACCTTTGGTTCCTTCTAGTCATACGTAACTCCTGGAAATTTTGCTTCTGTGCCTGCGGCAGCCAGGGAAAAGCTGCTGGTGTTGTGGGAGTGGGCACAGAGGGTGGGATGGCCCCAGGGGCTGTTCCTTCCCTGCGGGCGAGATGGCAGGGAACATGCTGTGCACCAAACCTTTCTCAAACACGTTTACTCCAGAGACGCTGAGGACAGCACAGCCCTTGTCTGGTCCGTAAGGGACCCATATGGTACAGGATTTCTGGTTTAGCAGTTTAGCTTCATCCCAGCTCAGAGGCTGCGATGCCTGCTGGAGCAAATCACAACTCGCAAACTGGCAGAGGATCTGTTTGGCCAAATTTGAATCAGAGCTGTGTGAAAAGCTGCTCCCGTTCTCGTGTCAGCAGAAATTGCAGCCCCTTCTTTAAGGGGAAGCCCTGATTAATTAAGATGCAAACATGATTTTTAAATGTGAATGGCTGCTTCAAAACCGATCATGCTTAAACTGTGTCTTGTTTCCTTCCTGCAGGGACCCTTTGCTAGGTGAGTCGTGGGACCAGAGCCCCCAGAGCTGTGTCCCAGCCCTTCCTCCCTCCTACCCACCCTGGGCCTTTTGGCAAGAGCAGGTCAGAACCGCCTCCGCACAGCAAGGAGGCATGAGCGATGAAGATTACCCTTAATCCCCTCTTAATGCTGAGAACTCCTTCTAGCCTCTCATTAAACGCTTTGCTGATTATTAATGGACTTTTATTTGAGAGGAAAAAAAAAAAAACCCAAAACCCCCACACTTTACAGCTTTGGGCTGATTCCTCCCTGACTTTTTATTGTCGACACAGTGGCTGCTGGCACGGGGAGGAGGAAACCACCTGCCTGCCCCTTATGTTGTTTAGTGTCAGAGCTGTAGTAGGGATGGGATGGGATGGGATGGGATGGGATGGGATGGGGCGCAGGTTTGTCTCCATCCCACTGCTGCCACCACCCATGAAGGTGGGGCCGCTGATTGAGGGTGGTGGGGTGAGCAAAGGGGGTGTCTGAGTCACTGAGATGTCTTGCCTGGCACCTCTGGGATTGGGGGGGGGACACCTCGGCTGCAAAGACATCACTGGGAGATGCTCGGAGCTCCTGGCTCCTCAGCCACAGTCTCTCTCCTTGCTGTTGTGTCTCGCTCTTTTGAAGCTGCTCTCAGTTTGCACCTTCTGCCCTGAGCTCTTCTGGGGGGGCTGGGGGTGGGAGCCAGCTTGCTGCCTTTAGCCATGCAGGCTGGGGGGATCAGTGCTTAGAGGAAAAGGAAGAAATCTGCGGAAATATCACAGAGTCCTGTGGTCAGGCTGTAGGTTTGGAGTTAGAGCATATTCCTGGATTTATCTCCCCAGCCAAGGGGCCCAGCTTAGCCCCAAAACAGAATTCAACTGTCCTGGAAACTCCAGCCACTGGGAAGTGCCTGGAGTGAAAGGCAGTCAGTTCCTCCGTGGCTAAGGCTCTGCTGTAGTGACAGCAGTTCCCAGTTCAGTTAGCTCCTCTCCCAGTTCAGTTAGCTCCTCTCCCACAAGCGGCTCCTTTCCTGCTGTGAAAGGCTCAGCTCAGCAGCCTCAGAGCCCCCAGACCATGGTCCAGCGAGCAGATCGCCTGCCGAGGCTCTGAGGCGGCTCCTTCAGTGCTGTCTACCAGCAAGCTGTGAGCCCTTCCTTGCAGGAACCAGTAAAAGTCAGCCTTAAATCCCAGTAGCAATTTATTCCTGCACCTCAACCTTCCCTGGGGACGCAGGAGATGGAAGGACACGACCTGCAAGGGGCAGGAGCATCCCGTAAGGTCCCGTGTGATGTTCTCGGCAAAGCGCCGCTGCCGCTGCCTGAGCGTGGGTACAAAAAGACCCGGTTTTGGTGCCTTCCTGAGCCTTTCTTTGCTCTCCCAGCACGGCTCCCTTCAGCCGATAGAATTCCTTGTCAGCTTTATGGGGTAAGGAGGAAGGGCTGGCGCTGCCGTTCAGCCTCCCCGAGGGTTTGAATGAAGGAGCCTGCGGGGGAGTGGGAGGGAGCAGGGCCCACCGCTGCCCTCCCGCTCCCGGCCCCCTGGCTGTTTGCTGATCTCTGGCAATTTCGAAGAGCAGAAAAACCAAGTGGTGGTTCTTCAGTCTGGGAAAGAAGCAATTCTTTCCTGCTGACCTCCTGCTCCCCTGCCCGATCTCGGTCAGCCCTCTGATTCCCCAGGAGTGCCTGAATGTGCAGGAAATGCTGTCAGGGCAGATGGAGACTTTTCAGGGAGCACAGAGCTGCTCGCCGTGTCCACCCTGGCCATCAGGAATTCCTCGGGGCAGAAGGAAGGGGTGTTTCTACTTTGGAGAATGTCCGGTGCTGCCAAACTCGGACTCCCTGAGTCCCAAAGCTGGGCAGGAACCGCTTGGGTCTTGCCAACGCCACGATCTGGGGTTTAATGCTGCCAACCCAGAGCAGAGTCATTGCTGTGGCATGTTTTATCCAGGGCCCAAACGTCCTGGGGGAGGGCTGGGTACTGTGCTCTTTTCTAGCTTTTCTCAGCCCACATTTGTGTGATATTAGAGAAATAAGAGAGAAATCTGTCAGAGGCAGGAGGGGGAGCAAGGCCTGGAGCTGGAGCCGGTACCCAGACCTCTCCCAGGAGTTCGTTGGCTGGTCCTGACCCAGCTCTGCTCTTGTATCCAACCCTCCAATTTTTCCTGCACACACAAAGATTTGCATGCTCCGCTGCTCCATACATTTCTGCTTTTAACGGAATTATACTTGAGTCAGGCCTTAATTTGGCCTCTGGCTACTCTATAAACCAGAAGGGGTTTATTTAACAATAAATGCCAAGAGGATGAGGCCATATTCGGTACCAGTCCGTGGGTACCACTCCACGGAGGCTGCTTTTGGATCCTGCCATGGCGCGTGTGGTTACCCTGTGCGAGCGCGTCCCTCTCCGTTTCCCACATGGATGTTCCCAGCAGGAAACGGCGTTTGGAAGCGGATGGCGCAACCTCGCCTGCTTCGCACACTGACGTCCCTGCTGAGAGGCTGACAGTGAGGTTAGAAACCTCCATATTTCAATTAAATCTCTCCTACGCTGAACACAGAAATCAATAACGTGCTTACGCCATCCATCAGCTGGCCAGGAATCTCCGTGGCCTCCGGGAAGGGGCCGCTGCGGGTCGCTTTGCCACCTCCAAAGGGCTGTCAGCCCCGTGGCTGCTTCCTCCTCCGTGCTGAGCCTATTGCTCGCTTCTGGTTGTGATCCTGCCAGGCCGTGGCTGAGCTCAGTTCCCCGGGCCCGGAGGTGGGGGTGAGTGTGCGCGGCGAGGTACAGGCCAGGGAACAGCATCCGCGCTCCGACTGTCACCTTCGCTCTGCTCCCCTTCCCCCCTGCTGCTGGTGGGGCTGCCTGGGGAGGGGGTGACCACGGAGACCTGTCTCAGCAGAGGGAGAGGAGCAGCGCAGGGTGTGGGGATGTGCTGAGCAGAATCCACCCAGGTGGTTTTGACCCTTTTTGGGCAGCGGAGGAGCCGTTAAGGGGCTCCTTGCATTGAAGGCCAGTGCGGGTCCTGTGAAGGCTGAGAGCTGGACGAGGCTGAGCCGCGCTGGAGAGTGAAGCACCTTTCCCCTCCATCCCACAAAAATAAACCTGACCTGAGCTGCTGTATGCACCGGCACCTTGCAGCGATGCTTTTTTGCCCCAGCACGTTGCAGGGGCCGTGGCCTATTTTGGGGTCTTTCATCATCGTTGCGCAGCTCACCCTGCTGCTCTCACAGCCCTTAACAGCCGCCCTGCGCCACCGAGCCCAGCTCATCTCGCTCTTCGTTAGCTCTGCCTAACGAGGAGGGGGCTGCTGGCAGCTCGGACCGTGCAGGCTGGGCCAGCCCGCTTCCAGAGCAGGCAAAATTGTATTTCTGACTTGGCAACCATCCCGAATGTTGTCTCGGGGCCCCCCTGGAGCAGGCAGCCGCAGGAATGAGTTGGAGAGCTTCACCCCCAAGGCACTGGTGGGATGCTGAGGGTGTTTAGTGGGGAGGTTATTTCTGAGCTGCCATGTCCTCCCGGTCCTGCTTGCCCTTCTCGGTCACCTTGGCATCACCTTGCCAAGAAATTGTCCTGACTGGCCAAACCTCCCTTTCAGAGCAGGGCTTGTACTTGGTGCCACTCACTTGCCAGCCCCTGCCGCTGCATTTGCACCAGTCCTCTCCCGGGCACAGCAGCTTCAACCTTTCACAACAGGCATTATTTTAAACCTACAGGCATGAGCTCTGGGGCCAAAGGGGAGGGACTGCCGAGGCTCCATCGCTGCCTGACCCTGCTGGGGATGATTTCCTCTCCCTGGGCTTTTCCAGTGACTCTTGGCTTGCACACCTTCGTGGCCTCATGGCCACACATCGGGCTGGGGACACAGAGCTGGTAACAATGCTGTCTCTACCTCCACGTGACCTTGGGGAAAATCACTCCATACCCTCATTCCTCTTTTCCCTCTCTGAAAACCAGGGACAGCACAAGTTCACAGCCTCGCCGGGGTGTGGGGAGAGCACATCACAACCCTTGGCAAAGGAGACCACAGAAGGAGGAGGCAGTGAGGGTGCGTGGCACGACACCAAGGTCACGCAGCTTCGTCAGAGCCCAGAGCAGCATCTCCTGCCTCCCCACCACGCGCCGTAGCCGTGAGCAGGGTCACTCTCCACCTTTACGGAGCTGCCCGGCCCCGATCGTGGCACGGGCACCTTAGGGCACAGAAATGCTGCCTGTAAGACAGGAGCAGAAGGCGGTTATGGGCAGGGACACAACTCCATGTTTACTCTCAGTTGCTGACTGAGGTGATTCAAGGATAAGGAAGAGCAGGGGAAGTGGCCTAGTTTACAGAAAATTGAGAGGAGGACTGTGACAATTGCAGCCACCTCCATTGTGCCGCCGTGTTTTCCCCATCGCTCCCTCCGTTTGGGAATGTTTCCTTCATCTCCCCGGGTCTGTCAGTTGGGAAACGGCAACTTCAGAGCGCCGATGTCTGTCCAAGGACGCGTCTGTCAGAGCCGAAGGCATTCGGGGGGTCACTGCAGCCCCGGCGCAGACAGGACGGGGGTAAATGTAACTCCAGCAACTCCCGGGGCTGGCTCGGTGCAGGAATTTCCACTCCCCGGAGCTCTGCATCCCTAATAGTCACCCCCAGCCTCCTGGAATGCAAGATATTCTAGCAACCAGAGTTTTGCAAATCAAAGCAGCTGTTCCACCAACATCTTGCAGCCAGGGAAGGAGACAGCCCTCGGCTGACTGACTACCCAGAGTCAGGGAGGGCGTCTGGCTCCGGGTGGGAAGCACCCACTGAGACGTAGCACCCACTGAGACGTAGCACCCACATGCGGGGTGCTCGGGCGAAGGCTCAGCCCGGCCGATGCAGGGGAGGAGAGTGGACCTGAGCACGTCCTGGTCTCTCTCCAAAATTAGAGCTACCTCGTGGGGACCTTCCCGAAGGCTCCCCCACTTCGGAGGACGTGCTCAGCTCGCAGGGGCCTGCTTCGAAGCGGCCGGGATGGGCCGTACCCCGGGAAGGGGGGTTCCTCCGGGGCGGCGGTGCCTCCTCGGGAGCTCCAGGGCCCCACGGACAGCCCGGGCTGAGCAGGAGCCGGGGAAGGGGATGGCCGAGGCGGACGCGCCGCGGCGGTGGCAGAGCCCGTCTGGTTTTGCCTCCTCTGCTCCAGTTCAGCCCCATGACACGAGCGGGCGCCGCTGCTGGGGGGCAGAAGAGCCTTTGCCTCCCCCGTGCCCGATCTCTTCACTCTCCCCGAACCCATTTTCATCTCTACGAGCCGCCTTCCCCGGGGCCGCCCCCGCCGGGACACGGGTTGGGGGCGAGACCTCGGTTCTCCCGGAGCCCCCGGGGCTGCGTGTCCAAAATCCTCTTTAAACCCACAAAGTCCCGGTCGGCGGGTCAGCGATGCCCCCCCCCCCCCAAAAAAAAAA